AGCTTACGCTGGGCAGATTGGCAGCCTCCAAGGCAGTCTCCCAGTTTCCCCAGTTCAGCCGATGAACTGGGAACAGAGCTTGTCCAGGAACTCCCAGGTTGGGTGACCCAAAACGTTCTTAAGAACCTTGACCAACATTAGCATGAGAGAAAGAGCAAGAGCGAAAGAGGGATGGATTGATGAACAGGTCTAGGTGGATGGATCTATCAATAGATACAGATACATAGAGATGGATGGATGGACTAGATAGACAGACTAGACAGAGAGAGAGACGGATGAAGAGACAGATAGGTAAAGAGATGGACGGACGGATAAAGAAAATTAAGTAAATGGATGGATGGAAAGATAGATGGATGGACAGATGGATGGATGGATAGATGATAGATAGATAGATGTAGACATAGGTAAACAGATAGATAGAGCATATAGAAGATGGCTAGATAGATATAGATAGATCTAGCAACAGATATATCTAGATAGATGTAGAAATAGAAACATAGAATTAAGACCGTGGTAGCACAAGAGGTTAAACCGCTGAGCTGCAGAACTTGGTCAGCGATTCAAAACTATGGTTTTGGTGAGCTCCTGTAGTTAGCCCCGGCTTCTGCCAACCTAGCAGTTCGAAAACATGCAAATGTGAGTAGATCAATAGATACCGCTTTGGTGGAAAGGTAATGGTGCTTCATGCAGTCATGCCAGCCACATGACTGCATGGAGGTGTCTGTGGACAACGCCAGCTCTTCAACTTAGAAATGGAGATGAGCACCAACCCCCAGGGTTGGAAACGACTGGACTTACTGTCAAGGGAAAAATCTTTACCTTTTTAGAGATAGATAAGTAGGTAGATAGATATAATGATGGACAGATGGATCTAGCGATAGATATAGATATAGATACAGAGAGATAGATGGCTAGATAGATAGGTAGATATAATGATGGATGGATGGATAGATCAGATCCAGGAGACAGACAGATAGAAAGAGAGAACTGTAGATAGATAGATAGATAGATAGATAGATAGATAGATAGATAGATGTAGAGGTAGGTAGGTAGGTAGGTAGGTAGGTAGGTAGGTAGGTAGATAAATATAATGATGGACGGATGGATAGATCAGATTGAGGAGACAGAAGGAGATAGAACAATAGATAGATGAGATAGATATAATGATGGATGGATGGATGGATGGATGGATAGATAGATCAGATCAAGGAGAGAGAGATAATAAATATAACGAAAATGTCTGTCTTTCTATCTAAGACAGACAGATAAAGATAGATAGAGGGGGGAGATGGATGGATGGATGGATAGACAGACAGACAGACAAATGGACAGATCAGAGGAGACAAATGATAGAAAGATAGAAAGAGAGAGAGAACAGTAGATAGATAGAGAGAGAGAGAGAGAAATAGAGAAATAGATAGAGAAATAGAGAAATAGAGAAATAGATAGATATAATGATAGTTGGATTGATATATCAGATCAAGGACAGAGACACACAATAGATAGAAAGATAGAGAGATAGATCGATAGCTAGAATGATAGATAGGCAGACAGATAGATACATATAGACAGAAATATAGATACTAGATATAAAAAGATAGATAGATAGATAGATAGATAGATAGATAGATAGATAGAGGAAGGAAGGAAAGAAAGAAAGATGGATACAAAGATAGATAGAGATAGATGGATAGATACAGTAGATTGAATGATGGATAGAAAGATAGACAGATATAGATAGATACTAGAGATAGATAGATAGATAGATATAAAGATAGACAGACAGATAGATAGATAGATAGATAGATAGATAGATAGATAGATAGATAGATAAGAAAGAAAGAAAGGTAGATTAGATTAGATAGAATGATGGATAGATGGAGGGAGTGAGAGAAAGAAGGAGAGGTAGATTGATCAGATCGAGGAGTGAGACACATGATAAATAGAAAGATAGATAGATAGATAGATAGATAGATAGATAGATAGATAGATAGATATGATGGATGGATAGATCAGATCGAGGGGAGAGACCGATGATTGTCTGTACTGGTAGATAGAAAAAAGGAGATAAAGGGTAGAGAAAACAACAGAAAGATAGAAAGACAGATACAATGATGGATGTTTAATGATAAAATTATGTTTGCTTTATATTGTTTTATGATGTTGTTTTATGAATTTATTGTGTTATTTTAAATTATGTTGGTTGGGCTTGTACCCATGTAAGCTGCCCCGAGTCCCTTCAGGGAGATGGAGGTGGGATACAAAAATAAAATGATGATGATGATAGAATCATAGAGTTGGAAGAGACCTCATGGGCCATCCAGTCCAACCCCATTCTGCCAAGAAGCAGAACAATTGTGTTCAAAGCACCCCCAACAGATGGCCATCCAGCCTCTGTTTAAAAGCCTACATAGAAGGAGCCTCCACCACACTTTGGGGTGGAGAGTTCCACTGCTGAACAGCTCTCATGGTCAGAAAGTTCTTCCTAATGTTCAGGAAATATCTCCTTTCCTGTAGTTTGAAGCCATTGCTCCTAGTCTTCAGGGCAGCAGAAAATGATGATGATTATATGGATGGATGGATCCGATAGATAGATAGACAGACAGACAGACAGACAGATGATAGATAGAACAATAGATAGAAAGAGATAGATATACATAGAAAAACAGATGGAAAGATAGATACATATAGATAGAAAGATAAATCTATATAGAAAGAAAGAAAGATACGAGAGGTAGGTAGTAGGTAGGTAGATAGGCAGAACTATAGCTAGATCAATAGAGAGAGAGAGATAAAGAGATAGATAACAAGAAGGATAGAATGATGGATAGAATGATAGATCAAACAGAGAGAGAGTTAGAAATATAGATAAATAGATGGAGATTAGATAGATAGAGAGAGAGAGAACAACAGGTAGGTAGGTAGGTAGGTAGGTAGGTAGGTAGGTAGAACTATAGATAGTTTGATCAATAGAGAGAGAGATAAAGAGATAGATAACAAGAAAGATAGAATGATGGATAGAATGATAGATCAAACAGAGAGAGAGTTAGAAATATAGATAAATAGATGGAGATTAGATAGATAGATAGATAGATAGATAGATAGATAGCAACAAGTAGGTAGGTAGGTAGGTAGGTAGGTAGGTAGGTAGATAGGCAGGATGATGGATAGACAGATGATGGAAAGATTGAGATAGATAGATAGATAGATAGATAGATAGATAGATAGATAGATAGATAGATAGATAGATAGAGATAGAAAGACAGAAAGAAATGGACAGATAGATAGAAACATAGAAAGATAGAGATAGAAAGGTAGAAATAGAAAGAAAGATAGAAAGAGAAAGATAGATCAATAGATAGATAGACAGATATAGAAAGACATAGCTAGAGAAAGATAGATATCTATAGATAGACAGATAGAAGGAAAGACAGACAGACAGAGATAGAAAAATAGAAAAAAGAAGACAGGAAGGAAGGAAGGAAGGAAGGAAGGAAGGAAGGGAGGGAGGGAGGGAGGGAGGGAGGGAGGGAGGGAGGGAGGAAGGAAGGAAGGAAGAGATACAAATATAGAGAGTGAGATAGAAGAGCGAGGGGGAGGTGTGGGTGCCTTTCTGGTGGCCCTTCTTTTTCTTCTCTTCAGCTGTTGAAATCAATGGAGGAACGAAACTGATTAATTAATTCTGGAGGCGAAGGAAGGAAGGAACGAACAAACTAACGAACAAGTGGGAAGAATGAAAAGAATGGCCTTCGTTTCGCAACCTTGTAATAATTAATCTCCCATTAGGCCCATGCAAAGGGGCTGGAATGGGAGGAATCTACCGCAGAGGGGCCCCCAAAGGCCATGTAGTCTGGACCCATCCCTTATTGTTGTTGTTGTTGTTGTTGTTGTTGTTGCTGTTATCTTTATATTATTAATTATTGTTATCATTATATTCTTTACATTATTTTGTATTCTTTATATTATATAGTAATAATGACATAAAAATAATGAAAAGAAAATAAGAATATAAAAAGTGAATAAGAATAATATATAAAAATAAGAATAATAATATAAAATAATAATATAATATAATAATGAAAATAATAAGAAAATAATCTAATAATGAAAATAAGAATAATAGGAATAAAATATATTAATAAAATATATTAATCATATATAAAAATATTAATAAGAATATTTCATTTTCATTATATTCTTATTTTTATTTTCTTTATATTATTCTTATTAAATATTCTTATTTTATGTTATTCTTATTTTCTTCTTATTTTTCATTTTCATTATTATTATATTATTGTTATTATTTTATTTGTTATTATTGTTATATAATATTCTTATTTTATATTTTATTACTATTGCTATTCTTATTCTTATTTTAATTATTAATTTCTTATTATTATATTATTCTTATTGTTATGTATTATTCTAATTCTCTTTATATTCTTGTTATTTTCTTTATATTATTATTATTGTTTCATGTTATTCTTATTCTTGTTATTCTCATTATTATATTCTTATTATTTTTTCTTTTTGTTATTGTGATATATTATTCTTATTCTCATTTTATATTCTTATTATTTTCATTATTTATTTGTTTTGATTTAAATAAATAAATAAAAATTAATTGAATAATCTGTTCTTATTCTTATTTTTATATTATTATATATTATTCTATTATTTATATTATTATATATTATTATTATTCTTATTTTCATTATTATTACTACTTCTTATTCTTATTTTCTTTATATTATTATATATTCTGATTATATATTATTCTTATTATATATTCTTATTAATTTTATTGTTATATTCTTATTCCTATATTCTTTATATTATTATTATTGTATATTATTCTTGCTGTTGTTATTATTATTATATGTTATTCTCATTTTCTACATTATTATTATTGTTATCATTATCATTCTGATCATTATTAATGCATTCCCTGCTTTTCTTTCCTTCTTTCCCCTTAAGGGTCAACCCACCTCCCTTCTGGGTGACCTCCACTGACCTTTTGTAACCCCAGGTGACACCCAGGTAACTTCAAGAGCGAAAGAAGGAATGTGAAGAGATGCCTTAATTCCCCCAAGGCCCGCCTTCCTTCCTTTCTCCCTTCCTTCCTCCCTAAAAATAGCCCTTGGCCCGTCTTACCTGCCGCACCTGCAGCTGGTTTCTTTATTAACAAAGGCAGCAAAGGAGGAGGAAGAGCCGCAGGTGAGCAATTAGGACTCCCTCCGGAGCAGCGAGTTTGATCATTAACCCCCAGCAGAGATATAAAACGGAATACGGAGGAAAGGAAAGGAAGAGAAGAGAAGAGAAGGAGAAGGAAGGATGGAGACCACTACGCTCCCGCAGGGGTTCATGACCACAATGAATAAGGCCAGCGACAAGAGGGTGGCAGTGGACAATGCGGCCGATATTGCTGTCATCGTGATCTACTTCCTGGTGGTCCTGGCCGTGGGCCTCTGGGTGAGTCCCTGAGTCCCCCGCTGCCCTGGGTCTGGGATCCACCATGTCCCCCCAATCCCCAGTTGACCACATTCACAACCCCTCCGCCATCCACAATGCTCTCTGAATCCTTGATTCACCAGATCCTTGAACCATCAAATCTACGAATTCCCCGAATCCCTGAGTCACCAAATCTGCACATTCCCCAAATCCCTGGTTCCTCAAATCCAGGAATTCCCCAAATCTACAACTCTCTGAATCCTTGATTCTTCAAATCCTCAAATTCCCCAAATCCCTGAAATCCTTGATTCACCAAATCCATACTTCCTCAAATCCTTGATCCACTAAATCCACACATTCAGGAAATCCCTAAAACACTTGATTCACCGAATCAATGAATTCCCCGAATCTTTGATCCACCAAATACATGAATTCCGCAAATCCTTGATTCACTAAATCCAGGAATTCCCCAAATCCTTGATCCACTAAATCTAGGAATTCCCCAAATCCACAACTTTCTGGATCCTTGATTCCCCAAATCTGTGAATCTTTGATTCCTTTAATCCTTAACTAAATCCACAAATTCCACAAATGCTTGATTCACCAATTCTAAAAATTCTCCAAATCTCTCAATCCCTGATGCACCAAAATTAGGAATCCCCCGAATCCACAACTCTCTCTCTGAATCCTTGATTCCCTAAATCCACACATTCACCAAATCCCTGAATCCTTGAATGACCAAATCCTTGATTCCTCAAATCCTTGATCCACTAAATCCATGAATTCCACAAATCTACAAGTTGCCAAATCTACACATTCCCTGAATCCCTGGTTCTTCAAATCCACGAATTCCCCAAATCCACAACTCTCTGAATCCTTGATTCACAAAATCTCAAAATCCCCAACTCCTTGAATCCTTGATTCACCAAATCTACACCTTCACTAAATCCTTGGTTCCCCAAATACAGGAATTCCCCAAACCCACAACTCTCTCTAAATCATTGATTCCTCAGCTCTATGAATCCCTCAATCCTTTATTAACCAAATCCCCGAATTCCCCAGATTCCTGAATCCTTGATCCCCCAAATCCATACATTCCCTAAACCCCCCAAATCACTGAATCCCTAAATCTCCAGATCCTTGGACCTTGATTCCCCAAATCCCTCAATCCTAGAGTCACCAAGTTCTCTGAATCCATTAATCATAGATTCTCCAAATCCCTCAATCCTTGATTCACTAAATTCCCTGAATCCTTGATTCACTCAGTCCAAGAATTCCCTGAATCCCTGCATCCTTGATCTCCCAAATCCCTGAATTCTCCAAATCCCTCAATTCTTGATTCACCCAAATCCTTGCATTCCCCAAATCCCTGAACTCTTTAATCCCTCAAATCTATCCATTCATTCATTCTGTCTCTCTCTGTTCTATTATCTATCTATCTATCTATCTATCTATCTATCTATCTATCTATCTCTTCCTTATCAATCAATTAATTCTCTCTCTATCTATCTTTCTATGTTTCTCTATTCTATCTATCCCAGTGGTTCTTAACCTGTGGTCCGCAGATCACCAGTGGACCACGAGGACGAAAAACTGGTCCGCGAACCTCCTTTCACTTTATTTATTTTATTTTATTTCCACTCCTTTCACGTCACCTGCCACTCCTTTCCTGTCACTGACCAACCCCGACCCCTTGGATAGACCACATCAGCTCTAGATGATTAAATATGGTTTTCTGTGGGCAAGCAGATGGGAACTACCAGATGGCATATGTTCTGCATCAGAAACTAGAGCTGATGTGGTCTATCCAATGCAATTTTCTGAATTCCAAATTACCAAACCAAATCTAAAGTTGACCAAAAATTGATTCGTAATACTTTTGATACTAATGTTGGAGAGTGGTCCCTGGTCAAAGTGGTCCCTGGTCAAAGTGGTCCCTGGTCAAAAAAAGGTTGGGAACCACTGATCTATCAATTCATTCTCTCTGTATTCTCTCTATCTCTTTCTTATTGATCAATTAAATCTATTGCTATTAATATCCATACTGATATAAAGACTGATAACAACAGAGAGAGAAAGAAATAGATATAATATATCAATATGGAAAGGTAATAGATATGGATAATAATAGGCTAATGTTTAGATCAGGGATCCACAAACTTTAAACAGAGGGCCAGGTCACAGTCCCTCAAACTGTTGGAGGGCCGGATTCTAATTTGAAAAAAACATGAATGAATTCCTATGCACACCGCACATATCTTAATTGTAGTGCAAAAAACACTTTAAAACAATATAATAATTAAAATGAAGAACAATTTTAACAAACAAACTTATTAGTATTTTAATGGGAAGTGTGGGGCTGCTTTTGGCTGATGAGATAGGGTTGTTGTTGTTGTTGTTGTTGTTGTTGTTGTTGTGTGCTTTTAAGTTGTTTCAGGCTTAGGTTGACCCTGAGCGAGGACCAGGTAAATGACCTTGGAGGGTTGTATTTGGCCCCCGGGCCTTAGTTTGAGGACCCCTGATTTAGATAGATAGATAGATAGATAGATAGATAGATAGATAGATAGGAAGTTGATTTATAGATAAATTATAGATAGATATAGATTGATGATACTTACTTACTTAGGCGATCCCTCGTTGGCCAAGTAGGGTAGTCTTCCAGGATTCTTGTGGGTCCATAGGTGACTGTGGATCCCTATTCTTGACTTGATGATAGATTGAGGATAGAATCTATATAAATAAAAATGTAATGTTCGTTTGTGGGATTAACAGAACTCAAAAACCACTGGGGGAATTGACACCAAATTTGGACAGAAGACCCCTAACAACCCAATGTATGTCCTTCACTCAAAAAAACACTGGAAAATCACAGCAGAAGGGACTTTAAAAGCCCCAGAAAGCTAAATGACGAAAACGTAAATGAGAATACAGAAAAAAGGGAAGAAAGAGGGAGGGAAGGAGAGAAAAAAAAGAAAGAAAGAAAGAAAAGAAAAGAAAAGGGGAGGGAAAGAAAGAAAGAAAGAAAGAAGGAAAGGGAGAAGGAAGCATGGAAGCAAAGAGAGAAGGAAGGAAGAAGAGAAAAAGGGGGAAGGAAGGAAAGTTAGAGAAGGAAGGAAGGAGAGAAGGAAAGAAAAATGAAAGAAGGAAGGAAAGAGGGAGCGAAGGAAGGAGGGAAGATGTAGAGAAAGAGGGAGGGAAGGAAAGAAGGAAAGAGAAGGAAGAAAAGAGAAACAGGAGAAGAGAAAGAAAAAGGGGAAGGAAGGAAAGAGATAAAGAAGGAAGAAGAGAAGGAAAGACGGGAAGGAAAGAGGGAGTGAAGGAAGGAGGGAAAGAAGGAGAGAAAGAGGGAAGGTTGGCCACAGCAACGCCTGGTGGGTACAGCTAGTGGTAGACAAATAGAGAAAGATATTGGATAGATAAGATATTGATAGAATTGTACGTAGAATTATACAGATGATAGAATTGTAGATAAAGATATTCGATAGATATTGATAGAATTGTACATAGAATTATAAATAGATTGATTGATCAATAGATGAGATAGACAGATGGATGGTAGGTAGATATTGATAGATGATAGAATTGTAGATAAAGAAATATAGACTGATGATAGAATTGTAGATAAATTGAGAAAGATATTGGGTAGATATTGATAAATCCACAAATTCCCCGAATATCTCAATCCCTGAATTCCCTGAATCATTCAAAAATCCCTTTTGGCGATTGATTGATTGATTGATTGATGACTGATTTCTATCTGGCTGCTGCGATAACAGCAACAACAACAACAATAAAACTTTATTTATATTCAGCTCTATCTCCCCGGAGGGACTCAGGACAGATTCCAAGCATAAAAGGCAAATATTCAATGTCCGAATACAACAACAATACATCCATACTAACAAAATTTAAACAACCCAACATATTTAGTTAAGGCTTCTTAGAAACTACAAGCACTAAAGTCATTGTTTCTTAGCTTTGTGTGCTATTTCCAAATTTTTGGTGAAGTGTAAACTCCATGCACAAATGTTTGTATTCTGAAAAGGCCTTATCATTGTGCCCTTATATGTCTGTAGAAGGAAGAAGAGAAAAAGGGGGAAGGAAGGAAAGTTAGAGAAGGAAGGAAGGAGAGAAGGAAAGAAAAATGAAAGAAGGAAGGAAAGAATTATGACTTAACAACTAAAATTAAAAAAAAAAACACAGCCTGTTTTAACAGACATAAGACAAAGCATCAAACATTGAAGAGAAACAACAATTTCCCACTGCCCTGATCTATTCTGTTTCAAACAATCAATCGATCAATCAATCAGTCAATCAAGTTAGTCAATGTTTTTCCCAATAAGTCTTTATTGAGCTGTCTCTCAATCTAGTCATTTGTTATGTTCTCTCTCTTATGTATTGATCTGTATTGTAATCGATCTATCTATCTAATATCTTTCTCTCTTTTTCTATTATCTATCCATCTATCTATCTATCTATCTATCTATCTATCTATCTATCTATCTATCTATCTATCTATAATTCTATCATCATTCAATATCTACCTATCATCCATCTGTCTATCTTATCTATTGATTAATCAGTCTATCATTGCTTCTATAATTCTTTTAATATCTATCTAATATCTCTCCATGCAGTCATGCTGGCCACATGACCTTGGAGGTGTCTACGGACAATGCCGGCTCTTCGGCTTAGAAATGGAGATGAGCACCACACCTCAGAGTCAGACATGTCTGGACTTAATGTCAGGGGACAACCTTTAAGCTTTAATATCACTTTATCTTTAATATCTCTTTATTTTAATATCAATTCTATCATCTCTATAATTCTATCTACAATTCTATCAATATCTATCCAATATCTTTCTTTCTCTATTTATCTACAATTCTATCATCAATCTATATTTCTCTATCTACAGTTATATCATCTATCAGTATCTATCTATTTTCCACCTGTCCATCTTATCTATTGACCAATCTATCATTCTATCTATGGATGGATGGATGGATGGATGGATGGATGGATAGATAGATAGATAGATAGATAGATAGATAGACAGACAGACAGACAGACAGACATGTGTGCATTAGACTGATAGGACCTATTAACCTGATCAGATCCAAACTATTGATCATTAGCAAGGATCCCCAAAAGGCCATTGATTAATATCTGAATCATTCTAATCAATACCCTTCATTAATTGATATTTTTGTGTTTCCGCTGATTTTAGGCCATGTATTCCACGAATCGTGGGACCGTCGGGGGCTTCTTCCTGGCTGGGCGCAGCATGTCCTGGTGGCCGGTGAGTGGCATTATTGATCCACTGATTGATCTATCTATCTATCAATCAATCAGTGAATTCCATGGAGTAAATCTTCCCAAGAAAGGCACTTCATAGCTTTGCCTCTCTCCCTCCTCTTTCCTATAACTGGGGCAAATGGTGTCCTGATGTTGCATTGATCGATTACTGGATTGATTGAGCAATAGATTGATTAATGAATTGATGGATTAATATCTCGATCAATGAATATATGGATTGACAAATCGAACTATTGGTGAATAGATTGATAAACTGATCAATTGACAAACTAATCTATGATGAATCAATCGATTGACAGATTGATGAATTGATGAATTGATTGATAGGTAATAGATTGATTATTTGATTGATTGATGAATCAGTCAATTGACTAATTGATCAGTGAATAGATTCATGATTTGATTGATCAAAGAATTGATTGACTGACAAATAGATGGATCGGTGAATATATTGGTTATTTGATCGATTGATTAATAGATTGATTGACTAATAAATTGATTGAGAAATTGAGCAATCGGTAAATAAGTTGATGATTTCATCAATTGACGAACTGATCAATCAGTTAATAGATTGATGACTTGATTGATTGATAAATTTATCGCTTTCCTATATTCCCCAGATCGGGGCCTCCCTCTTCGCCAGCAACATTGGCAGTGGCCATTTTGTGGGGCTAGCTGGAACTGGGGCAGCTTCTGGGATTGCCATCGGTGGCTTCGAGTGGAACGTGAGTATTGATCCCAATAGAATTATTGATTCCTGATAGGAAATTGGACTATGTATATATGCATGTGTCTGTGTTTTCATTGGCCCCAGGCGCTGGTGATGGTGGTGGTCCTTGGCTGGGTGTTCGTCCCCATTTACATCAAGGCCGGGGTGAGTACAGATCTTCAGGCTGACCCTAAGACCCTAACCCAAACCCCAACCCTCATTCCAGTCCATCTCTAACTCAAATGAGGTCTCTAATCCTAGCCCATCCTTGACCAAACCCTCAATCTTACCCATAAAGAACCCTCACTCTAATTGTATCCCTAAACCTGACTCTAACTCATCCCTAATTGTAACCAACCTCTGACCCTAGCCTTGAACCTGACCCCAGTTCTACCCATAACCCTTCCTCTAACCCAAACCTAAACTAAACTAAGCCTTATTCTAACTTACTCCCGACCTTAACCCTCATAGATCCCTGACCCTAACTCCAGCCCTAAGCCCTCTTTTACTCTCACTCATCCCTTCATTCATACTGAACCCTAACTATGATTCTAACCCATCTCTGAATCTAACCCTACCTCCCATCCGAACTCTAAATTTATTCTAAACTCATCCTTCTACCTTTATTCTAACTGAACTCTGACCTCAACTCTAACCAATCCCTGACCCAAAACCTATCCCTAACCCTTCTTCTAACCCTTCACTCGCTCTAGCCTTAACCCCAATCCTAACCCTAATTCTAACCCATTCTTTAATACAATCCTAACTCTTCTTCTAACCCCAAAATTCCCCAAAATCCCCAATATCAGTGGATAAGCGAAATGTTCTGAAACTGGATGGGCTCACGGTGGTAAGCATGCTCTACCATTGTAGCAAGTTTCACCCCAATAACTGTAAAAAATGAGGGAGAAAGGACCCCCGAAGTTTCCCCACATATGCAATAGATGAGAACAAAAAAGTCAAGAAATTTCAGTACTCTCATTATGGTGGTAAAATTTATCCACCAATTTATCCACAATTCATCCATCCGTCCACCATTCTAGTCACGATTCCATCTATCTATCTATCTATCTATCTATCTATCTATCTATCTATCTATCTATGTATCTACCTACCTACCTATCCACTCATTCATCCACAATTCTCTCTCTCTCTCTCTTGCTCCCTCCCTCCCTCTATCAATCTATCCACATTCACAAACATAGAATTGTGTATAATGTATGTATGTATGTATCCATCCATATACCTGTCCACAATTCTATCTATTTATCTATCAGTCTCGCCACCCACCATCCATCCACCAATCTTTCTACAATTCTTTCTAATCTATCTATCTGTCTGTCTGTCTGTCTGTCTGTCTGTCTGTCTGTCTGTCTGTCTGTCTATCTGTCTATCTGTCTATCTATTTATCTACCCATCCATTCATCCACAATTCTATTTATCCAGCCATCCATCCACCAATCTGTCTATCCATCCACCCACAATTCTATCTATCTATCTATCTATCTATCTATCTATCTATCTATCTATCTATCTATCCGTCCTTCCATCCATCTATCCACCCACCCACCCACCCACCCACCCATCCACAATTCTATCGGATAGATATATATATCTATCTATTTTTCTATCTACCTCTCCATCCATCCACCAATCGCTTCCTCTCTTTCTCTCTATCTATTTATCTATCCATTCATCCACAATTCTATCCATCCATCCATCCCATTCATTCATCCACCCACCAATCTATCTATCCACCCATCCGTCCACAATTATCTATCTATCTATCTATCTATCTATCTATCTATCTATCTATCTATCTATCTATCTATCTACCCATCCATCTATCCATCCACCCACCCACCCATCCACAATTCTATCTATCTCTCTATCTCTCTATCTCTCTATCTCTCTATCTCTCTATCTCTCTCTCTCTATCTATCTATCTATCTACCTACCTGCCTATCTATCTATCTATCTATCTATCTATCTATCTATCTATCTCATCTATCCATCCATCTATCCAATCACCAATCTATCTATCCATCCATTCATCCACAATTCTATCTATCTGTCCATCCATCCATCATCTATCAATGCACCAATCTATCTACAATTCTGTCTATCTGTCTATCTAGCTATCTATCCATCCATCTATCCACCCATTCATCCATCTATCCATTTATCAATCTATCTACAATTTCTATTCTGTCTATCTGTCTGTCTGTCTATCTATCTATCTATCTATCTATCTATCTATCTATCTATCCATCAACTAATCTATCCACAATTCTATCTATCTATCTATCTATCTATCTATCTATCTATCTATCTATCTATCTATCTATATTATATTACAATGTTATCATGTGTCACTGTACAGACAATTGAACAAGACAGCTCTTGTAGGTTTTTTTTAAATGTTGTTTATAAAAACTTAGAAAATTCCCCAAAATTCCGTGGAAAAGTGAAAATGTCCTGAAACTGGGTGGGCTAATTGTGGTCAATGTGTTCTGTAACCATACAAAGTTTCAGCCCGATAGCTGTAAAAAATGAGGCAGGAAGGAGCCCCGTGAGTTTCCCCACATGCGCAATTGCAAGAACGAAAAAGTCATGAAATTTCATTTCTCTCATTATGGTGACGAAATTTTCACTAACGACTTGCATAGGCCTACTACCCATCCCTTACTCCAATCTTATTTGTTACTTTCACTCTACTCAACTTCAATATGGAAATATTATAACAATAACCATAAACCCGATTCTAACGAAGCCGCTGTCTACCCATAACCTCAACTTTTACCCTAATTGTAATCAATCTCACTGATCTTTGACCCCTGACTGTAACCTTGAAGGGGCCCCTGATTCTAACTTTAACTGACCCCTGACCCTAACCCTTCTTCTGACCCTCATCAGGTGGTGACGATGCCGGAGTACCTCAAGAAGCGCTTTGGAGGGAAGCGGATCCAGATCTACCTCTCTGTCCTTTCACTCCTGCTCTACATCTTCACCAAGATCTCAGTGAGTGGCAACCATCTTGGAAGCAAGGGGGCCCTTTAAGGGAAATGGGGGAGTCCCGGGGGAGAAGGCCAAGAGAGAGGAGCCTCAGGGGGAGGAAGAAAAATACAATTATTATTATTATTATTATTATTATTATTATTATTATTATTATTACGTTGTTATATTATTATATATTTATTTACTTACTATATTTATACCATCATATATATATATTATATCACTACAATTATATTATATACTAGCCGTCCCCAGCCACGCGTTGCTGTGGCCCAGTCTGTGTATGTGTGTTTTGTGTGTGTATATATGTCTGTGTATTTGTGTATATGTGTATATATGTGTGTTTGAATATATATGTATGTGGTTTTGTGCATGCGTTGTAATGTCTTTATTTTTTGGCTTTTAAGGTCTCTTCTGCAGTGTTTTTCAGTGTTTTTATGAGTGATGGTCACTTGTTAGTCTGATAAGTGTATTGTGTCCAAATTTGGTGTCAATTCGCTTAGTGATTTTTGAGTTATGTTAATCCCACAAACAAACATTACATTTTTATTTATATAGATAATATAATAATTATTATATACTATAAAATTTATATTATAATAAGATAATATCACTGCAAATATATATTCTATCACTACAATTATAGTATTATGTGAGATATATATTATTATATGATGTATATATTATAAGATATGTATTCTTATAATATAAACATTAGTGTGTGTATATATATATATATATATATATATTAATATATATCACATTATATCTATATATTATACCATATATACCATGAGATAAGCCTCCCCGCAGGATTGTAACAAATCCAGGCATCCCCTGGGCAACGACTTTGTAGATCGCTGATTCTTTTACAACCAGAAGCAACTTGCAGCATGGAACCAAACAAACTAACAGACCTTTTTAGGAGCAACTATGACAATAATCTCAATCCCCATCAAAGACATGCCAGTTGCCAATTTTTTTTTTTATCGTGTCAGGAGCGACTTGAGAAACTGCAAGTCGCTTCTGGTATGAAAGAATTGGCCGTCTGCAAGGACGTTGCCCAGGGGATGCCCGGATGATTTGATGTTTTTATCATCCTTGTGGGAGGCTTTTCTCATGTCCCCGCATGAGGAGCTGGAGCAGATAGAGGGAGCTCATCCGCCTCTCCCCATATTTGAACCTGCGACCTGTCGGTCTTCAGTCTTGCCGGCACAAGGGTTTAACCCATTGCGTCACCGGGGGCTCCAAATAACAGCTGCTTTATGAATTGTGCCAAGATAAAAAATGTGATGTGCTGTGTGTCCAAGAAACATACAGGGATAAACAACAGAAATGACCGAAAGTTCCAGGAATGATCTTAGTGGCGGAAAAACCATATGCACAGTATAGAAGCGCTAACTTTGTAAAACCAGGACTTAAGTCAGCAGTGCCCATAAACACTGAAGAAAACAATATAACAGTAGAGCTTAGTAACATCACGGTTACCTCTATGTACAAGTCCCCAAATGAAGAGTTTTGTTTCTCCTCTTCTGAGAACTTTGATAGGCACCAAAGGACGGTAGTAATTTATTTATGTATTTATTTATTTATTTTAACCACACTTTTATCCTGCCCTTTTCATCCCAAAGGCGACTCACGGCGGCATACAGACTGGCAAAAATTAGATGCTGAACACACATAAATACATAGTTTAAAACAGGTTAAATCACATAATAAAATTCATATAAAACAATTTAAAACTATAAAAATCAATGACTTCCAAGTTTAAATCCATGTCCATTTACATCGTTAAACCGTTCCATATTCGTTCGCAATACTTGTCTGGTTACAACTAGGTTCCAAAAGCTTGCTCGAAGAGCCAGGTTTTTACTCTTTTCCAAAAGGTCAGGAGGGAGGGGGCCGATCTAATATCCACAGGAAGGAAGTGCCACAGCCGAGGGGCCACCACTGAGAAGGCCCTGTCCCTCGTCCCCACCAAGCGTGCCTGTGAGGCAGGCGGGATCAAGAGCAGGGCCTCCCCAGATGATCTTAAATTCCTTGAAGGTTCGTAAGGAGAGATACATTATAATAGGCAAGTTGGGCCAGAACTGTTTAGGGCTTTATAGGCTATTGGTGACTTTAACAGCCATAGCCATGTATGGGGCTGTGCTCAAGAGGATAAAAATGGAGAGGTTGTCCTCTCCTGGTCTGAACTGCACAAACTATCACTCATTCATGATAGTAAGCTCCCACCATTCTACAACAGTGGGCGATGGCACCAAGGATATAACCCCGACCTCCTATTTGTGAGTGACAGAATTGTGCAGCAGTGCACTAAATCAGTGGGATCACCAATACCAAATACCCAGCATCGGCCGATAGTATGCCAATTGTTCCCAACTACAAGACCTCAGGAAGTTTGGTTTAAATGAAGATTCAACTTCAGAAAGGCAGATTGGTCTAAATTCTTAGACATGTTAGATGACAAGATCGTATCGATCGCCCCAACCCCTGAGGAATACAAGCGCTTTATCAAAATAGTAAAAACCTGCTCACGGGCCTCTACACCAAGAGGCTGCAGATCCCACTACCTTCAGGGCATTACTCCTGAAACAGCTGCCTTGTTGGAAGACTATTACAGGCTCCACAACGAAGACTCATTTAGTGAGCAAACTCTTCAGGCAGTGCAGAGCATTTTGTCCTCCATCTCTGAAGCCAAGAAAGAACAGTAGATAAAGCTGATAACAGAAGTCGACATGGGTTAGTCAAGGCGTGGAGGCTGTTAAGACAGTTGAACAATGATCCCCCACAAACTAATACCCATGCCAACATAAAGGCAGATCACATAACGCATCAATTTCTGAAGAATAGGAAACCCAACATTGCTGCCAAAGGAGGAAGGAAACCAATAGTCAGACAACCAGAAAATGAGAACAATAACCTTTTACGTCTACTGAATTGGACATGGCTCTCAATGTAAAATGTAAAAATGGCAAAGCAGCTGGCCTGGATGATCTACGGATGGAACAAATTAAGAACTTTGGCCCAAAAGCAAGGTGCTGGCTGCTGAAGCATTGCATCCTGTCAGATCCCTAAAATTTGGAGGAAAGCAAGAGTCATAGCCATCTTGAAACCAGGCAAAGACTTTGTTGTTGTTCATTCGTTCAGTCGTTTCCGTCTCTTTGTGACCTCATGGACCAGTCCACGCCAGAGCTCCCTGTCAGCCATCACCACCCCCAACTCCTTCAAGGTCAATCCAGTCACTTCAAGGATCCCATCCATCCATCTTGCCCTGGTCGGCCCCTCTTCCTTTTTCCTTCCATTTCCCCAGCATCATTGTCTTCTCTAAGCTTTCCTGTCTTCTCATGATGTGGGCAAAGTGCTTCATCTTTGCCTCTCCTATCCTTCCCTCTAATGAGCAGTCGGGCTTTATTTCCTGAAGTATGGACTGGTTGGATCTTCTGGCGGTCCAAGGCACTCTCAGAACTTTCCTCCAGCACCACAGTTCAAAAGCATCTATCTTCCTTCACTCAGCCTTCCCTCACATCCGTAGGTGACTACGGGGAATACAATTTCTTTGACTATGCGGATCTTTGTTGCCAGCGTGATGTCTCTACTCTTCACTATTTTTTCAAGATTGGACATTGCTCTCCTCCCAAGAAGTAAGCTATAGATCAATCTCCTTGTTATGCCATCTTTACAAAGTTCTGGAGATACTTATTCTGCATAGAATTGCTGATTCCACAGCAAGCTGGCTTCAGAAAAGGCAAAAGCTGCACATCGCAAGTGCTGAACCTGACTCAGCACATAGAAGATGGTTTTGAAAGGCAGCAGATTACAGACGCTGTCTTCATAGACCTGTCAGCAGCTTATGACACTGTAAATCATCGCCTTCTCCTGAGAAAAACTTATAATATCACAAAGGACTACTACCTTACCTGCTTTATAGGAAATCTGCTACAAAACAGGAGCTTTTTTGTTGAATTCCAGGGCCCGAGAAGCAGATAGCGAAAACAGAAGAACGGCCTGCCTCAGATGAGCATGCTTACTCCATCAATGTTTAACATCTATGCAAACAATCAGCCACTGCCAGAAGGGACAGAGAGTTTCATCTATGCTGATGATCGTGCCATCACCGCCCAAGCAGGGAGCTTTGAAATCATTGAATAGAAGCTCTCCAAAGCTTTAGATGCTCTTCCTGTCTATTACAGGGAAAGCCAGTTGATTCCTAATCCATCTAAAACACAGACGTGTGCTTTTCACCTTAAGAACAGACAAGAATATCGAGCTCTGAGGATTACCTGAGAAGGAATCCCACTGGAGCATTGCAGCACACCAAAATATTTGGGAGTCACTCTGGACCGTGCTCTGACTTACAAGAAGCACTGCCTGAGTATCAAGCAAAAAGTGGGCGCTAGAAATAATATCATATGAAAGCTGACTGGCACAACCTGGGGATCACAACCAGACACAGTGAAGACAACTGCCCTTGCGCTTTGCTACTCTGCTGCTGAGTATGCATGCCCAGTGTGGAACACATTTCACCACGATAAAACAGTGGATGTGGCTCTTAATGAGACATGCCACATTATTACACCCTACACCACTGGAGAAATTATACTGTCTAGTCAGTATTGCACCACTTGACATCTGCCGGGAAGTTGCAGCCAATAATGAAAGGACCAGGGCAGTGACATCTCCAGCTCATCGCCTGTTTGAATGTCAGCCGGCACATCAATGCCTTAAATCTAGAAATAGTTTTCTATGATCTACAGAGTCCAAAAGTGGCAGGCTAAAACACAAAATCTCAAGCCATGGCTGATACCGAATGAGAGACTCCTTCCTGGGCACACAGAAGACTGGGTGACTTGGAAGGCGCTGAACAGACTGCGCTCTGGCGCAACGAGACGCAGAGTCAACCTTAAGAAATTGGGCCACAAAGTGGAATCCACGTCATGTGAGTGTGGAGGAGAGCAAACCACAGACCAACTATTACAATGCAGCCTGAACCCTGCCGCATG